GTGTAACCCCTACATTCAGCTAACTTCTGTTTTAGTTTGTGATTTCTGATTTCTGATTTTCTGTTTTTGTAAAAGAATGAGGTATTAAGCATTTTAATCGCAAAAGAATACATTAAATGATAAACTAATAATGAATATAATACTTGATGTTTGCGTCTCTAGAGTCACTTTGTGTTTTGGTGGAATAGAGAGCTTAAACTGAAGCCATGTCCCTGTAAACAGAAATAATAAAGGATTGGGTTTTGAGCCAGCATTTATAGACTCACCTCTGAAAATTTAAGCACTGCAAGGTAAAGTCTGGCCTTTTCTTTGAATAAGTTGTAGGAAATAAAGTGAGCTTTATTAAATTTACTGATAAAGCTGGCTTATTCTTTAAACAGTTGCATTTTTAAAAGTCCCATTATTTATGTTGGAATTTCTCAGAGATGTGAGACCTTGTTACTTGTTTTTCAATGTCTGTAACATCCCATCTTAAAATCACTCTTTTGACATACACATTTAATATTTGTTGGTGGTTGCATGTAATTCAGATGAGACAAGAATTTATGGTCAGAAGCTTTTTTATTGAAGAAAGAAATAGCATAAATTGCCTTTGGAACATAGCTTTGGAGTATATATGTGCTTTTGTCTTTGAACTTTCAGTTATGTCTTTCTGGTCAAAGAATTGACTTAACAAATTTCCACTATTTCTACAGCTGATATTTAGTCTCGGCTCAGATGTTTAGTTAACATCTACTATGCATTGTATTGAGCCCTTTTATATTTCGTTTATTTATTAAATAATTTTAAATAATGAATCCAAAATGGCATTTTGTTTTCCAAAGTAAGAAAAATGTATTCTCACTCAGATATCCTTTGTGACAGCTTTGGGAGAGGTTTTTTAGGACTGTCTAAAGTATATCCAAGAATGGTCTAGACTATGAGAAAGTCGAAGATTGAATTATTTAAGATATAAATTGTTTGCAAGATAATAAACTTTTTTAAAATTATAAAATTGATAGGGAATATTCTGAGTTTAGGAATAGGTATATAGACATATAGAAAATAGCATGTTCCAAAATTATCATTTATTTGGTGAATAACTAAACATTAGAAGTGAAATTTGTAAAATTTCTTATTTGCAGATATCAAAGAAAAATCTATCTTAGCCACAGTATTTTTTTTCCCAGAGAAATTGATAACGTTATTGTTTGTCATGAAATAGGATCCTACTCATGGCGGACCCTCCAGTGTATTTAAAATTTCCTGAGAGGAAATTGTCCATCCTTCTTCAGAGCACCTGGTGGATCCAAACCCTTTGAATCTTTTGTGATTTAAATCCTGGGTGCCTTTGTGATTGCAACGTAGCTCCTTATTGCTAGGCCACCAGAGAAATTGTTCTGTAGTGGTCAAAAGATATAAATTAAAATGAGATACCTTGTGTTCCTCTACTAACTCTTATATTCTTTATAAAATAATCTTTATTTTTCTATGAGAGTTGATTATTTTCTTCCTTTGGGTTTGACCAAACTTAATTAAATGTAAAGAACATTGGAATCTTTACATTAAATACTGTATAAGTACTATAGCTACTGAGAACAGACCATTTCCCCCCTCAGTTAAAAAGTGAATACGTTAGGTGGAATAAATATAAATGATTACAATAGTATTAAACTTGTCACAGAAAGCAGTTAGTAGTTTCCCAGGGTGTGTATATAATCTCTAACATGGGTCATTTTTACTAATACTTTAGAAGTTGAATTTTTCTTGGTAACAGGATAGAAAGTTGTTGCTTGGTCCCTGTTTGAAGTGATATAATGCTACTTAATTCAGAACATTAGGGAAAGAGTGTAAACTAATATATGTAAAAATGGTTTATTTTTGTGTAAAACATGTAAAAATAATTCACCTATATCTTAAATTTATGTTTTAGTCATAACAATATTTAACATAGTGTAACCTGACATAATTGTGTTTCAGTAAGCATGGTAATGTGCATTGTAAAGTTTTATAGTATTACAGTTAGGAGCTTTAAGACATGTAAGGTGTAGGCATGGAGCCAAGGTGTGAGAGAAATAGTGCTAGGTTTCAGCCCAGGAAAGTATCAGTGCCTGAAAATGTGTGATTTTCTGACTTCATCTATCAGTTTCCCTGATTAAGTTAGTTTCCTCCTTGAGAAAAATGACACTTTTTTTTTCTAGAGAGAGGTAAGCCACAAGAAATTTTTACATATAAAAGCAAAATACCATTAGCATAGACTTAATTTGTTTTATGTTTGATGTAGAGGTTTCTGGCAGATAGGACTTGTGGGACTTTGGTTAGATGGATAAAAGATGTATGTTTTGACTCTTTAGCTCTTGAGTCAATGTTGAGACATTTGTTTACCTTTTTTGTAAAAAAAAATTATTACTTTACATATAATTATTCATATACATTGTATTTCATACATGTACTCTGTTTTATACACATATCTTGTGTTTTGGACAAAAATTAATATACATTATATTTTATGCAATTAATTATTATTGGTCTATGACTGTTATCACCCTGTCTTTTCAAGTCCCCATTGAACATTTCCCAAACCTTTACCCCTCTTCACTGACCAATCTCTAGTGATTTCCCTTCCATCTTCTGTTTTGCCTTTCTGTTCCTTTTTCTTTCCCCTTTTGGACACTTATAAGTACCTTGTTTAATTTTCCTCCTATTTTCACTATGGTGATCTTATGCTGTATTTATCCTTGTGTGACAGAGATATTTTATTCAATATAATACACTCTAGACTCATCTGTTCCTTTAAAACCTTAGTTGTGTTAATTGAATATGTGTCAGATTTTGAAAGAAATAGTTAAGTAGGGTGTTGCCAGAGTCTATAAGACACTTCATTTATTACCAACATTTTAAATTACAAAATACATAAATAACATTCCTTTATTAACAACTCTCTGGGTATTTACAATGTATCTAGAGCTGTGCTAGGTACACAAAAACAGCCATCATGGAGATTAGAATGTAGTAGGAGAAGCAAATACTAATTGATTAAATAATTTGATGATTAAATGTTAAATCACAATTTACTAAAATCTTCAGCTACCAGAGGCATAGTACTATGAGATTGGTGAGAGTTCATATCACTGATTATTTTTTTTTTTTTTTAGGGTTGGGGAGAGTGGCAGAAAGTAGGTCAGTCAGGAGGAGAGAGACACAGATTGCTTTACAGATGGAATTCTCAGACTTACTCATTGCCGTCAAGTAAGGACAACTCATTGCTGACCCCCCCACCCCAGTTGGTTTCCTAGACTGCAAGATACATACTCCACATTACTGAGTGGCAGTGATGTCAGTTTGAAGTTTGAAGCATTGATGTCAGTTAGCTTGATGTCAGTTAGCTTGATTCAGACCATGGCCTTTTCAGTTACGACTCTCTTTCAGAGAGCTGGACAATAAATAAGGATGACAGAAGAAGAATTGATGCTTTTGAGTTGTGATCTTATAGAAAAACATTGAATATTCCATGGATTGCCAAAGAACAAATAGGTATGTCTTGGAGAAGGTGCATCCAGATTGTTTCTTGGAGGCAAGGATAATGAAACTTTTCTCCCATATTTTTGACATGTTTCTAGGAAAAACTATTTCTTGTAAAAGGATATCATGCTAGGAAAGATGAAGGGCCAGCATAAAGACCTTCAGTGAGGTGGATTGACACACTGACTGCATTAATAGACTCAAGTATGTCAGAGAAGATCAGGATGGCACAAAATAGAACAAGGTCCAGACCTGTTTTTCATAGAGTTGCTGTGAGTTGTAGTTGATTCTTGAGGGCACCTAACAACAACAAAGTCATGTAGGAGGTGATTGCCTATCTTTATGTCTTGTAGCTGCTAGTAGACTTTAACTATTAACCTTTGGGTTGGTAAGACTGTGCTGCAATCGCGAAGACACATAGTTCAGTCCCACCAGCTGCTCCATGGGAGAAGGATAGACAATCTCCTCCCACACAATTACTGTCTTTGAAATTCCTTTGGAGGGTCAACTATGGGTCAGTTTCGACTCAGTGGTACAACAGCAGCTACTTTTCGGTTGGGCACTCTGGTGGCTTATTGGCAAGAAATTGTGCTACCAACCCAATGGTGTGTGGTTCAAATCCAGCTGATCTGTGGGAGAAAGACATGATAGTGTAGAGATTAGTTTTTAGAGATTAAAACCGAGAATAGAATAAGGTGAATACAGATTTAAATAGGTAGAGAAGACCCAGAACAACACAAAATGCTGATGAGTTGATTCTGCTCATGTATTGCTCAGTGGGAAAAACTTAATGCAGAAGATTCCATGTTAACATGAAAAAGACAAAAAGCCTCACCACTGGGCCCATAGGCAGTATCATGATAGATGGAGAAAAGATTAAAGTCATCAGTGACTTTATCTTACTTGGATCTATAATGAGTACACTTAGTACTAGCAGTCAGGAAATATAATGACATATTCCATTGGGAACATCTACTACTGTCAGAGACCTCTCCAAGCTGTTAAGGAGCAATGGCGTCAGTTTAAAGACTAAGGTGCTCTTGATCCAAGCCAGAGTCTTTTCAGTTACTTGCTAGGCATCTAGAAGTTGGACAGTAACTAAGGATAACAGAAGCAGAATCGATGTATTTGAGTGGTTGTGGTGGAGAAGAATACTAAATATCCCATCACTGCCGAAAGAACAAATATATCCTGGAGAAAGTGCAGCTAGGGTACTCCTTGGAGGCAAGGGTACTCAAATTATGTCTTACATATTTGGGGCATTTTATTAAGAGAGGCTGATCCTTGAAAAAGGACATCATGCTTAGAAAAGTTGAGGAGGGTCAGCGACAGAGAGGAAGACCCCCGATGAGATAGATTAATGCAGTGCCTGCAGCAGTGGGTTCAAGTATACCAGAGGTCGTGAGGATGGCACAGAATAGTATAGGGTTCAGATTCATTCATTGTTCATGGTGTTACTGTGATGTGTAATAGGCTCCATGTCACCTAACAACAACAAGATGGCTACTTGTCAGTGCAGAACTGTGCTCGTAAGATTTTCAGTGGACATTGTTTGCGAATTGATTACCAAGCGTTTCTTCCAGGGCACTTCTGGGTCGACCCAGACCTCCCACCTTTGAGTTAGCAGCTTAGTGCATTGACACTTTGGAACTCCAGACAACAGAAAGTTAGCACACTATGACAGCCAGGTCAATTATAAAGGCTCTAAATAATCCATGATTATTTTCTGTTAGGTATATTGTTTATAAGATAGGTTTGACTAAAAAAATGGAGTAGTTTTATTGGAGTTAAAATATCCTCAATCCCACATTAGCAATAATAATATAGCCTGTCAACAAACCTAGTTATATGGGTAAAATAAGAGTTAATGGGAGAAGAATAATACGAAAGTATCCTCATTTAATTTTAACTTTGTATTGCCAGCCTGGGGAGAGGGGCTGATTGGATAAAAACCAAACACCCCAAGTGGATTTATTTTGTTTTTCATAGGTGTGTGTGTTGGAAAATCATGTCTGCCAGATTTATTGAAAGCTAGTCAAAGTGTATTTTATAAATTTTTGTATAAACTTGTTTGCTACATTTGAGAGTGGAGAAGATGTTATAGAGCAGGTTTGTATCATCCATCCCTTTATCTTCTTCACCTTGGTGAAACATCATATTTTAGTTTAAAGCTGTTCAAGTAATTCCTTGCTCAATTTTCCCACTGTCTTCAGTGATATTATTTTGAGTCAGCAATCAATGGATTCCATCCCTCTGAGACTTGCTTAACCAACAGCTGCTGATATAATACAGGCAAGAGCTTGTTACTTTATCTGAATTGTCCGTCGCTACCTTAATGAGTGAAATGGTTAAGTAGAGGAGGGGGCGAGCCTTAAGGAATGTGTGTACCATTTCAGCTGAATATTTCAGTGTATATAGGGAGAGGGAGGGTTAGTGAGAAATCCACTTACATCACTAGAACTGCATTGAGTGTGAGCCTTGCAGGTTAAGAGACAGACTACAGTGTCTTGCTTTCTGCAGGAAGCAGCAATGCCGTTTGTTTCCTAAGAGGAATTTTTTATTTAGAAAAGGAAGCTTTCTCTCTACCCAGGAAATGGCTTTCCTTGTGCGTTGCTATGCCAACTGCCTGCAGCCATGGTCCTCCAAAGTAAGCACAATAATGTAATTATATTGGTGTATTGCATTCAGACTCATGATTCTCGAGATTGTGTGTGTGCATGTGCTGTGTTTCTGTTAGTGAATTTTTTGCTAGCAGTCATGCTTGTGTTTAGTGTGAGGGACAGACATCATTAAATTAAATGTCCATCAGTGTCATGCTGCTAAGATTAATTGTGCAAACTTGGTTAGTGGAGTGGGACAGAGATCACTGGTCACCACTCTGTCAGCATCATTAGCAGCTAGGGAGGAGGTCCCGATTCACACGCTCTGCTCCGGTTTTTCCTTTCTTTCTTTTTTTCCCCCCGTGCTTGGAAGGATCTGTATGTGTTATTGCAAATGAAACAAGAGTATTAACAATGCTTGGCTGGATGCTGGAGACTGGTTCTTATACTACCCTGACTGCTATAATTCTGTATTAAGCCTTTTTTAGAGGAGTCTGTGTGCAGTCAGCCATTTTAGGTCCCCCCCCCCTTTTCTTTTGCCTCTTGTTCTTCAATCTCAGAAATGATCTTGTTCTGTTGGAAGACAGAGAGCTGTATAAGGTTTCCTCAGTCTTGTCACAGCCTAAGATGGTTAGCGTTTCAGTGTTATAAAAATGGAGACGAATGCCGTTGTTCGGATTCCTTTTTCTGGACTACAAGTGTGAGGGTTTTTTTAAGCTTACCAGTAGTGACACTTTAAGCGCAGCTTCATTTTCCCCTCCTCTTCCTCCTCCTCCTTAATTTTTTTTTATTTTTTAATTTTTTTTTTAATTTAATGCTGCTATAGAGGGTGACTTGGCATCCGTGAAAGATTGGTACATGATGTGTAAATTCAGTTCAGCAAATGTTTCTTCATTATGAAACCACTAGCAGTCCCAGCTAACCATGGAGTTATGGGCCAACAGGAGAAACATTCAGTAAGTATCACAAATGCTGCTTCTGCTTCAGTAGCACATCTTAGTGAAAACTGCTGTAAAATGGAAATTATTGCTGTTTTCTCTTCAGGGAAAACAGTGGTTTTAGAGGGTATAATAGTCTGCTTGGAGGAGGGGAGGGCAGGTGACAATTGGTTCTTCCAATTTTGTTGCAATTTAAAAAAATAGATAAGACCAACCTTCAGATAAAAAAAAATGCAAGGACAAAAATCATGAACACTGAGAAATGCTGGACAACTGATTTTTAGAATCAGAAGTTTAAGGTTCAAAATTCAGCTTTCTTTAATACTTAGACAGTTTCTAAAAATGTTTTGCAGTTGAATTTATTCGCATATCTAGAGGAAGGTTATTGAGAAAGAACATCTGGAGTGAGGAATTCACATGTAGGTGTGAGGGAAGGAGGGGGAGGAGAGCTTTGGTTAGGGATTCAATAATGAAATGATCCTTAGGGCTTACTTATCGGAGAATCCAGCATGAACTGATAGTTGATGAAAACACAGAATTCTTTTTCTTTTTTATGCCACAGGTATCACTTCCTTGTAATTGATCCCATGAGCGGTTATGCTGAAATCCCATAGACAGCTACTGCTGTTGGTGAGGAACACTTTCTGTGCCTCATGCTAGATCTGAACTTCCCATGTCAGACATGTGCGTTCCCATGGAGCTACTTTATGGCACCATGCAGGGAAGTTTTCTTCTTTCATATTAACTCATGTTTGTATATATTAAATTTCTAAAATAAAGATGTGTAAATTTAGGCAGTTTATCATAAGTATTTATGAATTGTTCATTTTTATAACCTTATATTGATTAATGCATCAGGATATAGGAGTTATCTTTTGTATATTCTACAAAGGATCCAGGTGTCCAGCTTTGAAAATGGCAGTAGTCACTGGGGTTTTAGAAATATATAGACAAGAAGTCATGAATCCAGGATATTGTTATGCTCAGTGTTGATGACTGTAACTTAGCTTCATCCATCGTTCTAAACAAAATCCAAGATATTTTCTTAGACAAAGTTGACTCTTAGGAACCATCTCACCTTACCAAGAAGCCACGTGGTATTTCTAAGGCAGAAACTATCTTAGATGCTTGATATGGTGCTTCACTTAGGGCCCCACCCTCTCTTAATGAGGTTCTGTTGGTACTTCATTAATTAAACTCCTTTGTCAAGTCCAAAAAAAGACCAGCCATATACTTAATGTTACTAGTAGAAAAGATTGTCATAGAGAAGTTCCATTGTAGATTGATTTTATTAACGCAACCTTTGAAATTAAGATTCTTTTGTAGTCATGACTTTTCCAGATAAAAGTGAGAAGTGTTAGTTACTTAGTTGGCTTTCCCTTCTGTATTCATTCATTCTTTCTCAAAATGGAGAGAGGAAGATATTTGAGTTAATAATAATAGTAATTTCATGAACAAAAGGAATTAGTGAAACTGTCTAATGGTTATTGTTATATGCTGTCAAGTTGGAACCACTCATTGATGACCCGCCAATGAATTTCCAGAGACAATAAATCACTTGAGATCTTTCTTCCGCAGAGCAGCTGATGGATTAGAATTGTGTGTCTTTGGGTTGGCAGCACAACTTCTTACCATCAGAGCTCCCTGTATTTAGTGGGTTTCTTTGTTGTTGTTTTTGTGTACTGTCAAGTCACAGTTGACCCATAGCTGACCCTCCAGTGGGTTTTCAGAAGCAGTTAATTGCACAAGAGGAGATACCCATCTTTCTCCCATGGAGCAGCTGGTGGATTTGAACCAAGTGTTTTTGAAATTGTGGCACAATTTTTTACCATTCTCCACCACAACTTCCTGTGTTTAGTGGTATTTAGTACCTTATTTAGGGAGCCCCAGTGGCCTCTGAAAACCTGTTGGACGGTCAGCTATGGGTTGATTCTGACTAAACGGTACACAGCACATACAACAATGTACTATTTAGTAGTGGAGGAAGAGGGAAAAAGCATTACTAGATTTGTGAAAACAAAAGTGATTGGGAAAGATAATTCCAAGTAATAGATAAACTACAGTCCCTAGGTAATGCAAACAATTAAATGTTTGACTGCTAGCTAATAGGTTAAAATTCACCCTGAGCTGCTTGGAAGATAGGACTGGCAGTCTGCTTCCAACAGGTCATGCACAGTCTTTGAAACCTGTGGTGTAGTTCTGCCCACACAGGATAATTGTGAATAAAAGAATCAGCTAGTTTGAAACTAACAATAGGTAAGGGTGTATAAACTATGGTTTCTTATTCTGTAATAATAAATTTCCTGGGAATATTTTCTATTTTACTGGGATTTTGAGTAATGTTATAACAAAAGTAATGCTAGCCTTAAAGTAATATTTTTAGGGAAACATGTGAATAATATTTCCCATAATACTTTTGTTAGAAGTCAAAATATTCATATTTGACATCTGAGAGCATCACTGTCAGCTACCCTGACAATATATGATGTCAGGATCTAGTCCCTGTTGGCTAGTATGCTGTGTAATGAACAGGCCTTTAAAGTTTTAATTACATGAGAGGACTTGAATAGAAAAATAATTTTCCTGGCTCTTAGGAAAGGTGAGCCTCAGTAAAAATAACTCAGCTAAATAGGTTTCATTGCCCTTTGCTCTGTTATGCTCTGCAGAGAGTGTGCTTTTTACAAATTGAAGATTTGTGACAACCCTGCATGGGGCATCTTGCCAGCACCATTTTCCCCAACACCCTGTGTTCATTTAGTATCTCTGTGTCACATTTTTGGTAACTCACAATATTTGAAACTTTTTCATGTTGCTATTACACACTTAATACAGTACAATATAAACTTAGCTTTTATGTACACGGGGAAACAAAAAAAAGTATGACTCACTTTATGGTGTTACTCTCTTTATTGTGGTATTCTGGAATAGAACTCAGTATCTCCAAGATATGTCTGTAGTTGCTGGGCCAACAGTAT